GATCATGCTCAAGTATGCACATGACATTCTAAGGAAGTTATCTGCAGAAGAACAATGCAGTAGGAGTTCCACTCAGTAGGCAGGTACCTGGCATTATAATTGATAAACTGGGGCTTAATAAATCCTTTCCTTTAGAATCTTGCCTCCAAGAGCTTTCACTCATTCTGGATTAAAATTGGAGATTGACATATTCTGGTTTAGAAAGATGTTCTGAAGTTTCCTAGAAAAAGCTGAGAATATATTAAAGCTACTTAACCAATTATTTTAGGATCACCTAGACACCGATGTTGCGTTTAGTCTAAGAAGTCTGAGGCTGTCTGACTAAGAAGCATAACAATAGGCCGGGCGCGGTGGCTCACGCCTGTAATCCCAGCACTTTGGGAGGCCCAGGCTGGTGGATCACAAAGTCAGGAGATCCAGACCATCCTGGGTAACAAAGTGAAACCCCATCTCTACTAAAAATACAAAAATTAGCCAGGCATGGTGGCGGGCACCTGTAGTCCCAGCTACTCGGGAGGCTGAGGCAGGAGAATGGCGTGAACCCGGGAGGTAGAACTTGCAGTGAGCCGAGATCGCGCCGCTGCACTCCAGCCTGGGCAACAGAGCGAGACTCCGTCTCAAAAAAAAAAAAAGAAGAAGCATAACAATAAACAGCCAGCATAAAATCTATGTTTTGTGTTTGTTTATGGCACAAGGAGAAACAGGGAATTTGGAGCTGCTTATTCTTAGCAGCTGGATGAGTCACTGGCAGCTGCTATTAGAAAGATAAAGAAACCCACATCTGCTAAGAGTCCAAATGCTACATGAATCCCTTGTGATAGTAAATACATTCTTGAAGAGGCCCCACTTCTGTATCAGGAAAAAAGTTAAGGCTATCTGAAGACCGTTTTCCATAGTTATCTTCATATGTTGTCTCACAGAAACTAGCTCTAGCCATATTCTTCAATATACAGCTGACCCTTGAACAACACAGGTTTCAGTTGTGCAGATCTACACTTTTAGGGGGGTTTTCTTCAACCAAATATGGATCGAAAATACACTATTCTAGGGGTATGAAGCCCTGTATACGGAAGACTGACTTTCCACATATGGGAGTTCCACAGGACTAATGTAGGCCTTGATTATGCATGGATTTTGGTATAAATGGGGGTTCTGGAACCAATCCCTGCATATACTGAGAGACGACTGCACTAGGTGGTCTACAACAAATATTTGCTGACTGAGTAAGGGACTGGGAAAGACAACCTCTGTTAATATAGCACAAGCTTTACCTATACACTCACAGTTCCCAGTTTTGTTTATATAGAGACCAATGGAATAGTGTTTCTGAGTTGCTTCACTTAAAATTGAGTCCATATTGGTTTTTGCCTATTAGTGCATTTATTCTGTAAAGGAAATGATACGATCCTCAGTACACTAAGTACTTCTTTAATAATACTGTAATGGAGATGCATGATCTCCAGAGTTACATGTCAAAGAGGCAATGACTGAAGTAAAAATAGTAGAAATAGCACATCAGCATATTAGTAAATCTGGGTTCTATTTTTAGCTTTGATACTAATCCACCATGAAATCTTTCTGCAAGTTACACAATTTCATTATTTATAAAACGGGCACAATAATACCCACTTTACCTATTTCTTAGGACAGTGGAACTAATAAGATATTGGGTGGAAAAGTTTTAGAAAAGAGTTAGTAACTATACATAAAAGTTTAATAGCTGTATATTTAGTAGCTATTTAGAAAACTTAAAGTTTTGTAGCAGTAGCATTGATTAGAGCATAGTGGGGAATCTCATAAATTCAAAAGCAGGGAGTCTACCTATTCACTTACTATAACCTCAGTGGGGAGGGGAGGGGAAGGGAAGAGAAGGGAGAAGAGAAGAGGGAGGGAGGGAGGGAGGGAGGAAGGAAGGAAGGAGCGAAGGAAGGAAGGAAGGAAGGAGGGAGGAAGGGAGGGAGGGAGGGAAAGAAAGAAAAGTAAAGAAAAGCAAGCAAGCAAGCAAGCAAGCAAGAAACTGCCTTAAAGGTATTTATAAAAACACATAATATGAAAGTAGGAGACCAGGCATGGTAGCGCATGCCTATAACCCCAGCACTTTGGGAGGCTGAGGTGAACAAGTGGCTTGAGCCCAGGAGTTCGAGACCAGACTAGGTAACATGGTGAAACCCTAACTCTATAAAAAACACAAAAATTAGCCACACATGGTAGTGAACAAATATATTCCCAGCTACTTGAGGTGGGAGGATCACCTGAGCTTGGAAGGTCAAGGCTGCAGTGAGCTGAGACTGTGCCATTGTATTCCAGCCTGGGTGACAGAGTAAGACCCTGTCAAAAATAAAAATAAAAATAAAAGTTGAAATTTATTCTGTGGCTATTACTTGAAGGCTTTAAAAAAAATTCTAATATTCTTAGGCAGTGGCCCAAGCCAAAAACTTGGAAATTACCACTGGTCTTCTCTCTCATCTTAATGCCAAATCCAATCACCAAATCCTATGAATTCTATCTCTAAAAGCGCCCCTTCCATCTCCATACTGCCTTAGTGTTGGCTCTAATCTCTCACTCAACTACTACCAGACTTCTATGTTCCTTGCCTCCAGTCTAGACCATCTTCTACATTGCCTTTTGAATGATCTTTCTAGAGCTCGGATATTACCACACCACTCTCCTATCTAAAAGCCTTCAAATAAGATGGGGCATGGTGGCTCACGTCTGTAAACCCAGTGCTTTGGGAGGCTGAGGCCTTGAGTTCAGGAGTTTGAGACCAGCCTGGGCAACATAGCAAAACCCTGTCTCTACAAAAACATTTAAAATTAGCTAGGTATGGTGGGCATGGACCTGTAGTCCTAGCTAGCTAGGAGGCTGAGTTAGGAAGATCACCTGAGCATGGAAGCTCAAGGTTATAGTGAACTATGATCAAGCCACTGCTCTCTAGCCTGGGCAACGGGGTCTTTTTTTTTTTTGAGACAGAGTCTTGCTCTGTCACCCAGGCTGGAGTGTAGTAGCGTGATCTCGGCTCACTGCAAGCTCCACCTCCCGGGTTCACGCCATTCTCCTGCCGCAGTCTCCCGGGTAGCTGGGACTACAGGCACCTGCCACCACACCCGGCTAATTTTTTTGTATTTTTTAGTAGAGACGGGGTTTCACCGTGTTAACCAGGATGGTCTCGATTTCCTGACCTTGTGATCCGCCCACCATGGCCTCCCAAAGAGATGGGATTATAGGCGTGAGCCACCGCGCCTGGTTGCAACAGGGACTTAAAAAAAAAAAAAACAAAAAAAAAAAACAAAAAACAAAACCAAAAAAAAGCCTTCAAATAACACCCAGAGAATAAAATTTAACTTTTTTGTTTGTTTGTTTGTTTGTTTTGAGGCAGGATCTCGCTCTGTCACCTAGGCTAGAGTCAGTGGCATAATCATGGCTCACTGTAGCCTCAACCTCCCCTGGCTCAAGTGATCCTCCTACCTCAGCCTCCCAAGTAGCTGTGACTACAGGTATGTGCCACCACACCTGGCTAATTTTGTTTATTTTTTTGTAGAGACAAAGTCTCAGTATGTTGCCCAGGTTGGTCTCAAAGTTCTGGGCTCAAGTGATCCTCCTACCTTGGTCTCCCAAAATGCTGGGATTACAGGTGTGAGCCACCACATCCAGCCCCAATTTCTTTTCTTTTCTTTTTTTTTTTTTTTTTTTCTGAGGCAGAGTCTTGCTCTGTCGCCCAGGCTGGATTGCAGTGGCACAATCTCGGCTCACAGCAACCTCTGTCCCCCAGGGTTCAAACGATTTTCGTTTCTCAGCCTTCTGAATAGCTGAGATTATAGGAGTGCGCCACCACACCTGGCTAATTTTTGTATTTTTAGTAGAGACGGGGTTTCACCATGTTGGTTTCAAACTCCTGACCTCAAGTGATCCACCTGCCTTGGCATCCAAAAGTGCTGGGATTATAGGCTGAGCCACTGTGCCTGGCCCAATTTCTTTTATATGGCTAAAAAATAATCTTTCAGCAGCTCCGTTATTCCTTCACAGTCTCATCTCCCCTAACCTCCTTCACAAACTTCACACAGACCCTAGACATTCTGACCTGTTACGTAAGTATTCCAGGTTCTTTTGTGCTTCAGCATATGTTCTACCTAGGATGCCCTTCTCTCCTTTATCCATGTGAATGATTCCTACTCTTCCTTCCCAGCTTAGATCAAACAGCCAGTTCTAAGGAGGACCTTCTCTGCTCCACTTCTCTCTCCCTCCTCTAACAACAGTATCCCCATCCCACCCCCATTCAGGAGTTTCTTTCTTTGTATTCACATTATGCCTTGTATTTACTGCATGGCATTTTAATATCTGCCAAGAGCAAGGGCTGTGGAGTCAGACTGCCTGGGTGTAAATCTGGGCCCAGAATTTACTATCTAACCTTGCCAAGTTACTTAACCTCTCTGATCCTCAGTTTCATTAGTTACAAAATGGGGATTATAGTATCTACCACAGAGAGCCCTTGTAAAGATAAACGAGTTACTACATGTAAAGAGCTACACTTGGCTCTTAATAGGTATCATTAGTGATGGTAGTGGTAATAGTAATATCTTTGACATAAACCAGACAACTCCTCAAAAGTGAGGTATTCTAAATACCTTGAATAGCATGCATTCAAACAATATTTATAGGAACAAAAGAAAAAGTTTGAAAGAGAGAGAGAAAGAGAGAGAGAGAGAAAGAAAGAAAGAGAAAGAAAGGAAGGAAGGAAGGAAGGAAGGAAGAGAAAGAAAGAAAGAAAGAAAGAAAGAAAGAAAGAAAGAAAGAAAGAAGGAGAGGAGAGGGAGAGGAAAGAAGGGAAGAGAGAAGGAAAGGAAGAAAGAAAGAAAGAAAGAAAGAAAGAAAGAAAGAAAGAAAGAAAGAAAGAAAGAAAGAAAGAAAGAAAGAAAGAAAGAAAGGGAAAGAAAGAAAAAGAGAGAGAGGGAAGGAAGGTAAGAGGGAAGGAAGGAGGGAAGGAAGGATTCGGGAAGACTTACCGCCATTTTTGCCCACAGTTCGGAAGCATCTCCAGAAGGCTCGTAAAAATGATACCCTATTGTGGGGAGTGGCTTGGACGAAGCTGAATTCTCGAAAGAGAATGTGTGTTCCCTGGCATACACTGTTAAAACTGCAAAGAGAAAAATCAAGAAATCATTGTTAGATGGAATCCAGAAGGCTGGAATCAGAATGAAAAACTGAGACCAGAGAGAACCACTGCCAAAAAGAGGGAATTTTTCTCCCCAACAAAACTCTGAAGTCTAGATTAGACCTAGCCCTTCTATGGGGAAGTCTCTTCATATAACCATATCTCTCCGAAAACTCTTGGAGGCCAGTTCCTCTGAGTGCTTCCCACCTTCCACAGGTACACACAGAGGACATCTAAATCAGTCATTAGAGCATCGCATATGGAGGAGGAAAGCCTTTTAGTCTCTAACTGGATGACGCTGGCACTCATATTTTCCTTTTTGGAGAATACTTTTCCCTCCACTCCATTTGGAATTAGGTTCCTTAAAGATATTCTTTCTGGGCTGGGTGCAGTGGCTCATGCCTGTAATCCCAGCACTTTGGGAGGCCAAGGTGGGTGGATCACTTCAGGTCAGGAGTTGGAGACCAGCCTGGCCAACAGGGTGAAACCCTGTCTCTACTAAAAATACAAAAATTAGCTGGGCATGGTGGCGTGCGCCTGTCATTCCAGCTACTCGGGAGGTTGAGGCAGGAGAATCACTTGAACCTGGGAGGTGGAGGTTGCAGTGAGCTGAGATCATGCCACTGCACTCCAGCCTGGTCAATAGAGTGAGACTCATTCTCAAAAAAAAAAAAAAAAAAAAAAAGATATTCTTTCTGTACTCTCCCTGGCCTATACCAGCTGCCATAAGGATAACATGGCTTATGGGGACATAACTGGAGTGTCTGTTCCAGTTTGGGGTGGTTTTATATATCTCTCTGACAATAACCCCAGAGACAAATCCCATGTGCCAAAGGATATAAAGGGTCCAAACAGAACAAGAAAGGAAAATAGAAACAAGGGTATAAAGTGGCCCCTAAATGAGAGTATGAAGCAAAGTCCCAGGGCCCAAGTGAGTCATTGTTTAAGCTGGGCCAGGGAAGGGAAAAAAATATACTCCATTGACTTTGGGTTTTCCTGCCAAAGAAATAAAGGCTGTAGAGCCTGGTGTAATCTAAAAATGGAAATTCCACCGAAGAATAGGCAATTATCCAGTAATCATCCCTACCAGAGCAAACTTCAGGTTCCAGAAAACTTCTAAATTCTCTGACAAGTAAATCATGAGCGGAAAACATGTTAATCTTTGTGGAGAAGCAGACATTAAATTTGAAGATGGCAAGCAATGGGGGGAACGGTGGTAATTCCAAATGCCAATTTTCATTTGTTGACCATATAAAGTGGGGGAAAAAATCTGACTCTGAATGGAACAAGAAAAAATTTCAGGAGCCATCTATTCCGTTTCCCTTCTCTCAGACCAACTTCATGGGAAAGAGTCTAACTTGTCTTTAATATAGAGTATGTTTTCATTTAGGATAAAGTTAGTTCCTTCCTGTTAATAGTAACAGCACTTTATGAAAAAGCAAACTATATACTCTTCTTCTTTAATGGACAGCTAGCATAGAAATCTACTTCTAAGACACCCTGAGGAAGTATGAGGACATCATCTGGCAAAAGATTAGGTTAGTAGAGGTGCTTTCAAAAGCAACGAAAGTGTTAACCTAACCATGCAGTGCTATTGTCTGAAGCAAAGGAAAATAAAAAATACAGGAAATGAGCTGTTATAGGTAAATGCAGTAGGCTACATTTCCAGCAAATGAAGTCTGAAATGATAATACCGTAGCCTAAATTCATGAAGCTATCCAGCAAAGTAGTCCCAAAGCGTGCTTCATATTCTAAGAGAGAAAAGTTGATGTCTAGGTCATGGTCTAATGAAATTGTAGCTTTGTTATAGCTTTTAAAGACTATCTCAAATGCCAAATTTTGTGTAAAGTCTTTTCCTGATTTTATCTCCCATGCCCAATTTCCATTGTATCTCGCTTAAAATTCTCTAACAGTGCTCACAATTTGCTACTTTGTTTTAAAGTTACTGGACTTTCCCCTATTAGACTGTCAGCTCTATGGAGTAAGCACAGATTGTACTCATCTTTGTCTCTACTATATTACCTAACTCATAATTACTCACAAATATTTGTGGAAATTGATTTAGAAAGGTAAGAAAGACAGGTAAGTGATGCCAGGTAGAATGTATCTTTGAAGCTAGCCACACAGGAAATATTGAAAGTCTATATCTTATTAATTTTTCTAAATTCCAGGCTTTGGGTCTGATATTTTTATTATAATATTGCAATACCAGCTTTATTTTGATCGGTATTTTCCTGGTATATCTGTTTCTGTGCCTTTAATAACCCTTCTAGGTCATTTTGTTTGGGTATATCTCTTGTAAATAGCATGTGGCTAGATTTTGCTTCTCTACCCAACCTTACAGTCACTATATGTTAATGAGTAGCTTTTTAGTGTATCTGATTAATTTCTGACCTGATATCTTATTTTGTCTTTCCCATTATCCACTCTTCTTTGCCTTTCCCCACCCTCTTTTCCTACCTTCTATTGTGTTAGTAAAGTTTTGTTTTGTTTTAATTCTTTTCTATCCTCCCTATTAGTTTGGAAGCTATAGACAAAATCTATAATCTTTCAGTATTAAAATTTAATGTAATCAGCCAGGCATGGCAGTACATACCTGTAGTTCTACTCAGAGGCTGAAGATGGAGGATCGCGTTAGCCCAACAGTTTGAGTCCAGCCTGGGCAATATGGTGAGACCTCATCTTAAAAAATTAACATAATATTTATCTACATTGTTTTTTCCCCAGACATTGTCTCGCACTGTCACCCAGTCTGGAGTGCAGTGGCCCCATCTTGGCTCACTGCAACCTCTGCCCTCCAGGCTCAAGCATCGATCCTCCCACCTCAGCCTCCAATTAGCTGGGACCAAAGGCATGCATCATCACGCTTAGATATTTTTTTGGATTTTTAGTAGAGATGGTGTCTCACCATGTTGCCCTGACTGGTCTCAAACTCCTGAGTTCAAGTGATCCACCCGTCTCAGCCTCCCAAAGTGTTGGGATTACTGGCATTAGCCACCGCATCTGGCCTATCTACACATTTTTGAAAATGTCTGAAAATACTCATTATCTTTATAACTCTCCAAAACAAGACAAGAGGCCAGGCATGGTGGCTCATGCCTATAATCCCAACACTCTGGAAGGCTGAGGTGGGTGGACTGCTTGAGCTCAGCAGTTTGAGAACAGCCTGGGCAACATAGTGAAACCCTGATTCTACAAAACAATACAAAAATTAGCTGGGCATGGTGGCACATGCCTGTGGTCCCAGCTACTTGGGAGGCTGAGGTGGAAGGACTGCTGGAGCCTAGGAGGTCAAGGCTGCAGTGAGCTGTGATCGCACCACTGCACTCCAGCTTGGGTGACAGAGCAAGACCCTGTCTCAAAATAAATAAACAAAATAAAAATAAAAACAAAACAAGACAAAGCCCAAAGCACACTTTCTATAACTTATGTGCAGTCTTCTCATCTTCGGATATTATTTATATATCTTCTGATTATTAATATCTTCTGATATTATTTTTTAGAATGTGACTAGAATCTCTTTTTAAATTGGAAAACTTTTTAAATGTGGTAAACTATACATAATATTTATCATTTAACCATTTGCAAGTGCACAATTCAGCGTCATTAAATATATTCACAATGCTGTGCAACCATGAACAATATCAATACCCAAAACTTTCTCATCATCCCCAATAAAAACTCTGTATCAATTAAACACCACCACCCCCTTCTGCCCACCCCCCAGACCCTGATAACCTCTATTCTACTTTCTATCTCTCTATATTTGTCTATTCTAAGTACCTCATATAAGTGGAATCATATAATATCTGTCGTTCTGGCCTATTTCACTAAGAATAATGTTTTCAAGGGCTGCAGATGTAGCATGTATCAAAATTTATTTCTTTCCTTCCTTCATATTTTTAAAATAATAGAGACAGGGTCTCCCTATGTTGCCAAGGCTGGTCGCGAGCCTTGAACTCCTGGCCTCAAATGATCCTTCCACCATAGCTTCCCAAAGTGTTGGGAATACAGGTGTGAGCCACTGCAGGGCCATAAATTTATCTTTTTTTTAAAGCAGAATAATATTCCATTGTATGTATATACCATATATTGTTTATCCATTCATCTGTTGATGGACCCTTGAGTTACTTCCACCTTTTGGCTATTGTGAACAATACTGCTATGATTTGTATACAAGTATCTGTTTCAGTCCCTTCTTTAATTCTTTTAGATCTATACCTACAAGTGCAATTGCTGGATTATATGGTAGTTACAGGTTTAACCTTTTGAGAAACAACCGAACTGTTTTCCAGAGCAGCTGAACTATTTTACATTCTCACTAGCAATGCACAAGGGTTCCAATTTGTCCACATCCTCACCAACACATACTATTTTCCTTTTTAAAAAATAGCCAACCTAGAGGGTGTGAAGTGGCATCTTATTGTTGTTTTGATTTGCATTTCACCATTGACTAATGATGTTGAGCATCTTTTCATGTGTTGGCCATTTGGGTATCTTCTTTGGAGAAATATCTATTCAAGTCCTTTGCCCATTTTTAAATTGGGTTTTTTGCTTTGTTGTTGAGTTGCAGGAGTTCTTTACATATTCTGGATATTAATTCCTTCTTGGAGATATGATGTGCAAATATTTTCTTCTATTGTGTAGGTTGTCCTTTCACTTTCATGATAGTATCCTTTGATGCACAAAAGTTCTTAATTTTGATGAAGTCCAATTCATTTATATTTTTTGTTCCTTATGTTTTTGGTGTTATATCCGTGAAATAATTGCTAAATTTAATGTCATGAAAAGTTTCCCCTGTTTTCTTCTAAGAGTTTTATAGTCCAATTTCATTCTTTCACATGTGGATATCCAGTTTTCCCAGCACCATTTATTGAAAAGACTGTCCTTTCCCTATTGAATTGCAGCTTTGCAGGAAATCAAATGAGCATATATGTAAAGAGTTATTTCTGGGCTCCCTAATCTATCACAGTGGTCTATAT